TATCCAACGCATATTGTTTTTCAAGTGTATGAGAAATTAAGGTTTGTTTTATGCTTGTTCTTCAGTGTTTCCATTGCTGTCTGTGTTTGATTTATTCTACTGTTTTTTTTCCAAACCTCTTGTTAGTGCCCAGTGCTATTTCATAGACAAAGTAGGCTGCAAAATAGAAATAGTTTAACCAGTGGATTCATTTTCCATGGTTGCTCTACATATATAATATCACTTCTCTTGTTGTTTATCCTAGTTGGGCACACCTGCTGCTGGTAGCAAGTGGGACAACAGGAGGGGAACTTTCGATTTCCATCCTTAAACAGTAAACAATTCTCATTTTTCAGTAAGTGCTTGTATAAAATATTCTGAAAATTTTCAACTAGAGATATCTAAAAGAATTCTGGAAACTAGGCCACTGTGGTATATATGCAAGGAATGAGCTCCGTGGACTACAACTTTTTTGTTTTCAGGAAGTGTGCAGAATATTCTTGTAAAATTATTTTTGTAATACTTTTTAAAAAGTGTAAGGTTGTTAAAAAGTGATACTTTAAAAGTGTTGAAACAATGAACTTCAAAAAAAAACATGGTTAATGGAAGTTACTGGCTTTCTGGTGCTCAATATTGGAAAAGAAAAGCAGAATATGAGACAAAGTTGAAAGCTGAAAGAGTGCTCTTCTCAACTTTTTGTAATGCAACACTTCGAAAGTAAATGAACAGACTATTATCAGAATGAGCTAAGAAACTATTGTTACTATAAACTAGTGAAAAGACCTGTGCTGCAGTGTTTTTGCTATGCTACCTCAGAAACTGAAGAAACCAAAGCTTCTCATCATAAAAATAATTCTAGAGAAAAAAAATCACACAAAAAAGTGAAACTACGTGTATTTGATTTGGATTATAGAACTAAATGACTAAACACTGATTTAAAGATATGGCAGTTCTTGTTTGAAATGAGTCCAGAATAGCTGGAGACATTTGCAAACATTTGACAAGGAAAAGGAAATTCACAAGATATTTTGCATAATAGCTTGTCAATGGACAAGAAGTATCAAGGTAATTCGTTCAGTATTTCTACAGTTGAAAGCATAAACATCTCCACTGAAAATAAAACAAGCCATCAATATGGAAAATCTTCATTTGATTAAGCAAGAGAATGAGCTTAGACAAGCTCTACTTTAAAGACTTATTGCCTTTATATGAAATATCAGAACCCAAGATATTTCTAAAAGTCACAAGAAGCTCTTCTCATCAGTAATGAAAATATTCTTAAATTTAAGTATTTGGCAAGGAGCACTGCAGAAGGATTACTACACAATAAATCTATAAGCAATATCTGGGATAGATCATAAAGAACAAGCTTATTCAGTTCTGTCCAACAAGTTACAGACACTAATGGACTGCTATTCAAAATTTCAAGTATTACACGATAATGTTGACTGTTCTGTTCCAGAAATAGCCACAGTGTACAGATGACAGTGATGATTCTGTTTGTCACAGCTACTGAATCATCTGTGACTAAAGCTAATTATAACAGAACATTTCCCTGGATTCTTACTGCTGAAAAATGTAAGTAGTGCCGAAAAAAAGACCATAGTTGTTGAAGTGATACAGTTCCGGCAAGAATTACAAGGATAGTGGAGCTAAAAGGGAAGGCAATAAAAATGGTCTGAAAGAAACAAATACCTAAATCTGAGAGGTTTTTAGTACCATGTAATGTACAGTTTCTAAATTTCATGTTAAATGACACTTCTAATTGTTGCTCCAAGACAGTGAAATTTTTTTACTTGAGTCAAAGCATATACATCTACTTTTCTGCTTGAACTAATAATTTAGAATTAGAACTATATTTAACTGTGAATTCATTGATTGACATGCAATAGTAAAGTACAACTAATAGTATTTGTGCACTCCATTACCAACTGGAAGAGGTCAAGATGCTCTGGCTACTTTTAAAGAAGACAACATGCTAACAGAAACCAATGGAACAGAGTTTCATTCTGAAATGAAAGCAGTCACTGAGTTTCAAATATGTGGCTGTTCTTGTGGTATAGTGTGATTTGTTATATGAGATAACCTTTCCAGCAAGTAGCTGCAAGATAATGATGTTGACATATTTCAAGCTCTGATTTATCAAAAATGAGCTCAAGGGATTTGCTGAAGCACTAGCGTTGATCTCAACATCATTTTGTCAGATGATGAGGTTGATGTCAGTGCAATGGACTATGTGACAAATTGCAGGCCTTCTCGCATAGAGTAACTAAAATTATTGTTAAAAGTGTATTGAAATATATTAGTAAGAATAGATTAGCATTGTTATTTCCCAACTGAGAATTTTGATGACTTTGGCCATCACCATTGATAGTGTAGGAACAAAACAGGTTCAACTGGCAATAATTTCCATCAAACATGAAATTACACAAAAACTGAACTTATTGGTTTGGTTTGAACTTCTTGCAAAGCTACACAAGGGCTATTTGCATTACCTGTCCCTAATGTAGCAGTGTAAGACTAGAGTGAAGGCAGCTAGTCATCACCACCAAATCTTGGGCTACTCTTTTACCCACTAATAGTGGGATTGACTGTCAGATTATAATGCCCCCACAGCTGAAAGGGTGAGCATGTTTGGTGGGATAGGGATTCGAACCACGATTCTCAGATTGTGAGTCAAAAGCCCTAGCCGCCTGGCAATGCCGGGTATAACTGGACTTGAAAAAAGCCGTGTGTGATTTTTGTCTCGGTGAAAGCAAGAAGTGAAATATTTGTAATTGTAAAATTTTGATCTGGCACAGTAAGCATATGTAACTGTTACTACAGTAATTTCTCAGGCTTTAAGAAATAAATTTGGTTTGACATAATTTATAATCCTATGGTCTTGTTTAATAATTTAGCATAAAAGGTGGGTGGTAGATTAAAAATTTGCCTGGAATGGAAAAATAGCTAGACCTGCCTCTCATATTCTGCATGTTGTATATTCCTGTTGAGATTAGTTTTGATTGAAAATATGAAACCCAAAAATAGAAAATTACATACTGTTTTTAAACATTTTGCAAATAAAACTTGAATAACATGATATTTATTCTATGAGTATATAATGTTCTGTAACACTTCAATCCAGGCAAGAAGTTGAGTAGCCTTTAAGGGCATCCAACCACTGTTTTTGAAATTTGTGACAAGTGCAATGATAAAGAAACTACACTTTCTGGCAGTTTGTGTGAAAAGAGGCACTTGTGAAGGCCTTCCAACTTTATATGGTTTGTCAGAAATTGAAATGCAGGATTTGCCTTCAGGTCACAAAGTTCATTGAGGAACGTCGTCTTCTCAAACACAAGTTTCAATATTATTTTCCAAGTGAAGAAACAGGCAACTGCTAGATTCAAGACCCTTTTGATATTGACAGCTATAACCCATTAGGATTTTTTTTTTTAGTTGAAGAACAAGAAGTATTATTGGAACTATTCTGCATTGGGAGTGACACTGAGAATTTAATTCGAAAGGCATTTCTTGATTCAAAAAATATTACAGTGAACTTTTCAACAAAACATTGCATTTTCTGATGCTATTTAATACTTCATACTTTTGTTAAAAGGCATTTTTCAGTACTGGAGGTTTTGTCTGCATTTGTAAAGAAGTTTTTTTTACATGAATTTGTTTTTAAGTTAGTGTAATTTAATATGATTCATGAATTTTTTATTCAACGTTTGTTTTCCAAATGCAGCTACATGATATCAGAGTTGCAACATGAGTGGGTCACTTTCATTACAATGTTATTTTCTTAGCGAGTAAATCTATTTGTAGTCTGTTCAGTACTATAATGAATGGAGTTGTGCATATTCATGTTATAGTTTAATTCTATGCTTGCAATGGATACTTATGAGTTGGAGTTTTCATAAAACATATACTTTTCTCTAAGCTAGTAAGACCTAATCGTACATTCATGTCAGTTTTCTAATGTTCATGTAGATTCCAAAAGTAGATATAAAAGGCACTGAGTGCAAGTTTTGGCAACTCAAAGGTCATGACAAAAGTCTTTATTTTGTTGTTAGACTATGGTTTACCTTAAAAATAAGAACATATAGTATATGTATTCATCTTTTGTGAAATGAAGTTAATGTTAATCACAAATAAATGTCATTAGCTAATTCTAAACTAATTTGACTGTAATGAACTGTATTTTAATTAGCATGATTGTGAAGTATTTAGAAGTTTTAACAAGTTAAATACAGATTCAATGACAAGATACCCACTTTGAGACTAATAATGCTTGGAGACGGCTTGAATGGGTAATAAAGAAAAACTTTAGTATAAGTTTAAATTAAATATAGTCTTGTTCATATATGCATGTGTAAATTCTAACCTTCTTTTTTTATGCTACTCAAGTCCACAATACAGTAATATAAGAAAAACTTTAATGAAGAATGGGCCTACATTGTTTTTATAAATTACTAATTTGGCAGCTGGTGACTAATTCTTTATGGTTTATAGAATTGATTACATTTCATCAATACTTGCCTTCTTATTTTATCGTGTATTGGTAATATAAAAAATACACCAACCATTAAAAAACCAGTAGCTTACCGCATTAGCTGTTAGTAAGGCTTTAATTGTTTGAAATATAGGTGAAATTTAATGTTTCTAAACTGATATTTCTTCAAAAGTATATATGATTATCATTTTCTCAAAGTAATGTAAAAATTTAAATTCATATTCATTTTAGCAGCAGAATTTTCTTGCTCCATTTTCATACTTGTCAAAAAATTTTTTCTTTACACATTCTATAAGTTTCGTAGTTTTTGAGATTAAAAGATTTGACGTGTAATAAATTGCATGTTATTTAATATTGTATACTTGTGACTTATAAATGTAATAATTTTGACAGAGATAACAAAAGCTTAAACTTTTGCAGCTGAACAGAGAAAATTCATGTCTGGGTAATGTTTTTAGTTAATTGGTAATACTAAAATGTTTTACTGTTGATGCAAGATTTATTCCTTTCTTCTTTTTCTGCACAGATGTTCAGACTCTGGACACTGTCCAAGCCTTGTGTCTACCCCTTGGTGCATCCATATCTCTTCTCATCATGTTCTTTTTCTTTGATTCAATGCAAATGTTGTTTGCCATTTGTACAGCCAGTAAGTGCAAACTGTTTTTTGACATCTCTGTAAAGTATTAGTGTAAAATCATAAAAATATTCTTTTTTTTTCTTATACTCAGAAAAATTATTTTAAATAGTATTGTACTCCTCAAAAGCTCAAAATTAATATTATTTAAGTGTAAACTTATGGATTATTGTTGCTGTCAATGGAAATTAATTTGTATAAGGTAAAAGCTTTGGTAAAATTTCTGTATGAACCTCTGCCTATATCTGTCATAAACTTTGGTTTATAAGATATTAAAACTTGAATATTTTAGTATTCCTAGAACCTGCTTGCATGACCTAGTGCATATTTTTTTTGGAAGTATGTGTTTAATTTGTGTCTTGATTTCATTTTCACCAGTCATTGCTACCATTGCTCTGGCATTTCTACTGTTACCAATGTGCCAGTACATCATTAGGCCATGTTCTGATGGCACCAAGTAAGTCAGTTTGTATAAATCAACTCTGAAATTTTGTGTAGAACTGTATATAAAATACAAACTGTCAGGTGAAGCTTCTTGTACATCTCTAAATATAATTAATTGAGTAAGAAGTATTATTGTGTTATCTATGTGTTTTAGGAGTTGCTTGTCACATAATTCAAACAGTTTAGGTAATTGCATTAAAAAATTTCAAGGATGATTGTTACACTTTGCCTTGATACCATTGAGTTATTCCTTCCTATAAAAGAGTTTTTATAAGAGTATAATGTGGACATTAGGCTTCTAGAAATATAGTAAAATACTGATTTTATTTGACTAGGTGGTGGTATAAAACTTTTTATATTTCATATCACAATATTCAACCTTTTATTGCTAGTTCTTTAGAAAAATGTTTTATAAGACTAAAATGTTGTTATACAGTCTTTTATATATATAAAAGCACTAGTTTTGTGTGGCTGTATGGTTGTATTTGAAACTTCATTGTATTATTGTTCAGTCCTTTTAAACAAGAATTTAATATTACATTTTGTAATTATTCTCAGAATATCATTCGGAATCTGTGGAAGGTTTACAGCCGGTGAACTAGTTTCATTTGCCTTATCCATTTCCATTGTATGTGTTTGGGTCCTTACTGGGCATTGGCTCCTTATGGATGGTAAGTAATATGTTGTTATGTTTGTAGATAGCCACTGATTATTGTAGATGGCCAGTGTTAAGTCTTCATTATATTTGAAGATAGTTATTGATGAGTTGTCATTTATTTTTATGTTTAAAAATAGCCACTGGCTACCTAGATCGAAAATTATCAACCAATATTAAGTATATGTTTCAAAGTAACCATTGGTAACCATAGATGATAAGTAGTCATATGATGTTTCCAATTGTACACAAATGGTGTCTCTGCTATGGTAGATGTTAATTTCTAAGATTCTGTTTTTTCCTTCTTAGCAGTGGGTATGGGACTATGTGTGGCTACCTAGATTGAAAGTTATCAACCAATACTAAATATATGTTTCAAGGTAACCACTGGCAACCATAGATGATAAGCTGTTGTATGATGTTTCTAATTGCACATAAATGGTATCTTTACTATGGCAGATGTTAATATCTAAGATTCTGTTTTTTTCCTTCTTAGCAATGGGTATGGGACTATGTGTGGCATTCATTGCTTTTGTTCGGTTACCAAGTCTTAAGGTGTCCACGTTGCTGCTTACTGGTCTGCTCATTTATGATGTCTTTTGGGTAAGAACTACCTTCTTTCTACTGGCTTTTTATTGTACTTTTAGGTTTTTTGTTTCATAAACAAACAAATCATCATTTTTACATGAATTATTGTGTTGACACACCAGAAAAATCATTTGGCATTGTCTCTATACATCACAAAAGCCAAATATAATTTGTTGGCCACACCATAAAATTATCAGTGATATATTGAATCTTCACAAAAAAAAGTATTTTTTCTTAATGTGTTATTTTATCTTAGAAGTCATGCACTGAGTTTAGTATTCAGTCAGAAATGGCTATAGCAGTGCAGAAAGACTACATACAATTAGGTCATCTCAACACAAAATTATTTGTGTTTATACATCTCATAAGCCAATAGTAACCTACAAGTGCACCACAGAAGCCAGTACTAACCTTTGGATATACTAAAAAAGCCAGTAGCTACTTATTGATCACCACATAAGCCAGTAGTAACCTATCAGTACACCATAGAAACCAGTTGTAACCTATTGATACTCTGTAAGAACTAGTAGTAACCTACTGATACTCCACAAAAGCCAATGTTAACCTACTGATACTCTGCAGAAACCAGTACTACTAATGGTAGTAATGTACTAAGTAATTTTTATTTAATTAAATAATGCATAAAAGAACATAGAATAATAATAACATGCAAAAAGCAGACATTTTCCCATAACTATCACAATTTTTTTGGTCTTCTAATTATGCAACAAAAACCGTTATAATTTCATCTAAGCTAGTCATTATCTTTCCTGTGGGAATGAAGCTTGTAGTAACTAAGAAATTTTATTCTCTGTTGAGAAAACAACACAATATGATATGTCATTTCATAGATGATAACCGTGGCTTTCTATAGGTTATACATAATATAGTATTAAGCATAAGAGAGAACTATTAACAAATTCTGAAAGAGAGGATGTAACAGGTGGGTGGAGCAAGAGGGGTCTGATTTTCTGTTTGATGGCTCAGTAACCAAACAAGATTGAAGGCTATAGAAATTATGGTTTGTCTGACCAATTTACATTAAATTTTATACTTATTGGAGGGGTGGTGAATATAATAGAGAAGAGGAGATGCCTAGAGAAAATATGCCATTCTCACAGTAAAGGAAATTCAGGATTTTTTTAAATATTGCCTTATAAAATTAAAAACTTAACTTATGTACTATACTATTCTAATATCGATTATTAGCTATGATTTTATGCGATACTAATTGGTATAACAAACAGAAAATTGTTTACTTGAAATTTTAATGTGAGTCACTAAAACCTCATGACATGTGCATCAGGTAGGTGGAAGTCCACATTTCACAACTTTTTACAGAGTTACATTGAAAATTTAATTAGAGTACTTTATTATCAATGTATATTAACATATTTGGTATCAAAATGTACATAATAAACCAAATATTAATATTTTTTAAGAAATTATTTTAAAAAAATTCTCAATCTCCCTTAGTATGAGAAATGTGACATTCCTTTTTAGGTCTTCCCTCTTTTCTATTTTATTTACCACCCCTCTGAGAAGTACAGAATTTAACATAAATTACTTATTAAAATGTAGATATTATTCAGGTAAATCATAATTTTTATAGCTTTCAATCTTATTCGTTTACAGAACCATAAACTACAAAATCAGACACGCTTGTCATGCCCATCTGTCACATCATCTATTTCACAAATTGCTAATAGTTTTCTCTGATGTTTTATACTATATTATTTATAACCAATGGAAAGCCAAAGTTTTAATCTATCAAGTGATGGATTATAATACATTGTTTTCTGTATTTCGCTTCCAGAAAACTTTATTCTCATGGGAAAACACATTGAAGGCTTTTATCTCATAGTTATAAAGCCAGAAAAATTATGGTAATTATAGGGCATTATGTACTTTTTACATGTTATTATTCCGTATTCTTAGATGCATTATTTAATTGTATAAAAATTATTTATTGTGGTAGTATCATTAGTATGAAATAGTAGGCTTATGTTTCACCAACAGTTGACAGAAAAGAAAAAGAAGACCCAGGTAAGTACTATATTTCTTGTTTTTCATATATATTCTTTATTTATTGTTATAAAAGTAACTAAAATGTAAAAATTAAAACTTATTAGGTTAGACAAGGTTGAATTAGATAAGATAAATAATAATATTAATAATTCTTCACAAGTAGCTTTTGCATTGCGTAATTCGATATGGTAACATGAGCTAAACATTTGCCAAATGATTTACAACTTGCGTGGCAGGATTATTAGTTAGACATAGTTCAAAAGGCAATAAAATTAAGTATAAATAAATTTATAGTGTTACAAGCTTTAAGCTATTTAGGATATAGTATTGTGGTTTTCTGTTACAATTTGCAGTCATTCTAGAAAGAAAAAATGGTAATATAGAATTATTTCCTCACTTTTTTATGGTGGTTATGAGGTTAGTCGATGCAACTGACCCTGTTTAGAGTTATAGTATAGAAAATAACAGATAAAATATAAAGTTTTTCTGAAATAAAAGAAACATTTGATATTTATTTAGGAGGTTTTAAGGATTATGCAAATGAAATTTGAAAATTTTCAGATGAAGAAAAGTATTTTTAATCTTAACATGAAAACATGTAACATGTGGTTACAAGGATGTGTAAAATACACGAACCTATTGTGGTAGGGGTAAGTCACATAGGGCAGTAGTAACATATTGACACAGCAAATGGTTCTTTTTGGTTGATGCATGCTTTTGCACATGCATGTACAGGCAATTTCTCTGTGATAAGGCATCACTTTAATCACCTATATGATTTACATGTGCAAGTTCATTTGAACTTATGAATCACCACACATTTTGTTTTTCATCAAAAGTACTGAACTAAAGCCTTGAAACAACAGCTGTTGATAGTAGTATCTTTTATATCAAAAATATTCTATAATGCACATATTCAGATGTACATGTTATGTGCCCAGTATACTATATACTAGTCAGTTAGGACATGTTTATCAATAGGATATTGAACTGAAATGTTAAAAATTTTATAGATTAACACTGAAAACTTCATAGGAGATAAAAGAAAAATAGTTTGGTGAAAATGTTAGAAAAAAGAACAAAATGTTTTGGGAATTAATGAGGTTATGAAAAATGTTGAGAATGAAAGACAAAAAATGGTTAATTAAGCTTATTTAAAGTTATAATATTAAAAATATTGCATTGTTGACATTGGGTGATCTGGTTTTTTTACCCATGGAAATATGTATTGATTGTTCATCCATCTTGGCCCCCCCACTGGTTCAGCAGTAAGTCTGAAGACTTATAATGGTAAACAAAATGGGTTTTCATACCCCTCGTGGGCACAGCACAGATAGCCTATTGTTTAGCTTTTTGCTTAATAAAATAAACAAGCAAAACACACACTCATCCATCTTGACCTTAGAGGAGAAACTTGTCTTATCTGAGAAGTGGTGTATACCCATAAAAACATCTGAAATGTATCATTTCTATGGAAATGCAGATGAAAAAGAACTTTCTCACTTGTAATAACAGTTTTTATACTGCAATCTTCTTTTTAATAAATCAACAGATGTTGTAAGGACATAAAAAATCAAATTTTTGTTTAAAATGTTAATCTTTTTTTTCACTTATGTTGCACCTCATCAAGAGATGTAAAGAAATATTTAAAAAAATATATACCAAATAAATATTTTTTTTAATTAGAGATGTTGATCACATTAGTATAGTTTAACAAAATTATCTGTTAGTAGTTGACTTAGCCGAGCGATGATTAACATTTTTAGTAAATTTAAAACACAATTTTAGATTTTAGTTAGGTTTGGTAGTTTGGTATGCTAAAATATGCAGTAACACTTGTTTGTGTAGTTGCTAAATATCAAACAGAAAGGTTGCATTTTGTATCTGGAAACTAAACTGTATAATTGTTTTTACTCAGGTTTTTTTCTCATCATATATGTTCAATGCAAATGTGATGGTAAAAGTGGCAACAAGGCCAGCTGACAATCCGGTAGGATAATCTGAATTATTCATACTTTACACAGTAGAGGTTGAAAGTTTAAATAAAATTCAATTACTTGAATTGGCAGTAAAAAGTCTGTAGCAGTTTGATGCTTGTTTATTCTTGGCTTTTGAAGAAGCAGAAGAGTATCCTTAAAGTGTAGGAATTGGGAGATGTTTTAAAAGAACACTCTAATCCTAGGTTCAAAGACAGCTCAAGCATTGTTAAACATGCACTAGGTGAATGTGATGTAGTCCCATTCCTCCATCCTAATAATATGTTCAAAGTAATCAGTAAAGCTAAAATGAGACTATGCTACAAGTGAAAGAGACTCTTCTGAATCTTTAAAGTAAGACAAAGCAAAGTGTTACTGGATTTTTAATCACAATTTAGGTAGTTAAATTTTCTTTATACTTTTCTGAAAAAAAAAGTTCAAACAATTACTGTATACAGTAATTGTGCTTTATTTTATATTACTAGGGATGAGAAATTGCTATTTATTTTCTAAAGAAAATAAATGTTTCTACTAATGTTACAATGTTTGTTTCAGGTGTATTAGGTTAAGAAATACTAATGCTGGTTAGCTAAGAGATTAATAAAAAATAAATGCCCTTTACTCTGATTCTGAAAATAAGAAAAAGTCTTTACTTGCAGAACATTTTAAGTAAACAATTTAGAGAATTGTCTAATAATAATCTATCACTTATATTAACTTTCAGACTTCATGTTAGATATATGTTTTAATAGTGTGGGCAACAGTTTTTAATAATATTGTATGCAGATTTTTCCTCAGCTTCTAATAAGGTATAATACATCTTCAGTAAATTACTACAGATAGTTGCTTTAGTTGTGTTGAATATTTTATACATTTCTCTACCGTTTGTTTTATTCAGCAAGTTTATTACAATAAATAAATTTTTATTAACTTGTCAGAGTGTTCTTTTATCCAATGTGAAAAGTTTCTTTAAACTCGATTTGATTGTGATATTTGTTGCTCATAATACCTTACAGATGGGATTAGTTGCCAAAAAATTCCATTTTGGAGGAATGATTCGTGAAGCTCCAAAACTTTCACTTCCTGGAAAGTTAGTGTTTCCAAGGTAAGTCGTCATTTTACCCTTAGCTTATACCTTTTTCTTACAAAAATGTACAACATCTTTGATTGGATGCTCACTGCTTAACTAATTTTCATGTAATTCTAACTGAGCTAAAAATGATTTTAATAATTCTTTTTCTCTACATAGAACAAATAAGAGAAGGTTTTTGAATTTAGTTCTATTGAAGTTGAGAAATTATGCAGTTTAATTATGTAATTTCTATGTTGTTTGGCTGTTATATCTGTTTCTTAGCTGTAAGTGTGTTACACCATTTCTTTTGTTGTAATCAAAAGATAAGTATGGCTTTGTAGTAAATATTCCAAATTAAGAATTATTTCATGCATTCTTAACCATCATTTTTCTTTAAATTATTGTAGGTCAGTAATCTAAAATCATGGTTTAAATATTAAATTAAAAGTATAAGAATTGTTCTAAGCAATTTGATTTCTTTTGGCTTTTATCATAGAATATTGATACTAAACAGTTTTCCTCTAATGTGTTTACACACACACACACACACATATATATGAATACTTTTGAGTTATTTATGTTTTCTTATTTAGTATTATGATTTTTTATTTAAGCATGCACAACAATGGACATTTTTCAATGTTAGGACTAGGAGATATTGTAAGTATGTCAAATTTTTTGTAAAGATTTTCTTTAACCTGAAATTGATAATTTAACATGTTTGTATGCATTAATTCATTTATTTTCTTCTAAACTAAACATCTCAAGTCTTGCTAGTTGTTTCTCTTGGTGGGACTGTGGTAAATTTACAGACTTACAATACTAAAATCTAGGTTTGAATTCCCTGCAGTGGACACAGCAGATAGCCCAATGTGGCTTTACTCTAAACTCAATCAAACCAGTCTTATTAGTTGTTAACAATATTAGTTTAAAAAAATAATAATAATATACTGAATATCATGTCACTTGAATAAAAACTACATTTCAAGTATTTGTTTGTAGTAATTTCAGAATTATTTAATTTTATACCACTCTGTGCTTGCTTGATTTAATTTGAAAGTTTTTTATAAAGTTTAAAGATTTCTTAATAATTTGTTGTTATGTAATTTTTTTTTTTTGTAAATGTGTTTCATATTTTTAGGAAAACCGTTTGTTTTTTAAAGTTTGATGTGCTGGTTTGGTGGCCTTTTTAGGTGATGCCAGGACTCCTGCTCTGTTTTGTGTTGCGATACGATGCTTACAAGAAAACTCAGCTTAGCTCAGCTGAAACAGGTGTACCCCCACCAAATCAACTGAATAAGATTTCCTACTTCCATTGCTCATTGATTGGCTACTTTCTAGGTTTGTTTAAGTTAATGTAAAATGTGAAAATAATTTCATAATTGAAATTTACACAGAAGAACTACACCGATATTTGAGTAAAAATTTTCTCTAAAATACTTTTGTTACTGAGAGATCATTATTCTGACCATCAATTACCAATAGGAAAAACAGTCAATTTATAGTAGTAAAATCAGATTGTCAGAAATTTTACACAGTATTAACAGGTTACTAATAAATAGAAAAATGTCTGTTTGTAATCAAGTGGCTAAATACGTTTTCTGTATTAAAGACTACTAATTTAGTTAATAGGATAATCTGTGCAATGGTAGACTGCATTAAAGACTAATTAGTTAACTCTCTCTACACAGGCTCGGTCAAATTGACCAACCATGTTACCACTTTGTACTCATTTAAAGTTGTTATAGTTTTTATACTAATAACTTTTAATATAGTATGTGTATCTTCACAAAATTTGGCAGACTTTCAGTAAACATTACAAATCATCTTTTACTTACGAAAAATCATATTTTTCAATGAAATATTTATAATAAACTAAAGATTTGTCCCTGAATATATTGAGTCATGTTTTTGAATAGCCCGAGTGCAAAGGGATTTTCATGTTAAGAATAAAAATACTTTTTGTCATCTCAAAAATCTCAAATTTCATTTGCATAACTTTGAAAACCTCCTAAATATATTTCAAATGTTTTTTTTCCAGTAAAACTTTATACATTATCTGTTATTTTCTTTACCTTAAATGTATATGAGGTTGGTCAATTTGACCAACCTCGTAACCACCAAAAAAAAATCTAAGCTACCCTTTTTTTCTTTCTAGAATGACTTCAAATTGTAACATGAAACGACATTTGTTTATCCTAAGTAGCTTTAAACTTGTAACAATATACATCTATTTATAAATTACATTTTATTGTTTATTGCCCTTTGAACCATGTCTAACTACTATTTATGCCATTATAAGTTGTAATTCACGTGGGGAATGTGTGGTTCATGTAGCTTTATCAAATTACATTACCTGTGAGCTACTCCAAGCTGCTCATGCACGTGTCTCATGAAAAATCTTTATTATATTATTATTATTTATTTTACCAAACTTAATCTTAATTAACCTAAAGAGTTTCCTATTTTTACATTTTAGATACTCTAATAATAGTAAACAAAAAAAAAATAAAGTATTTACCTGGACCTTCTTATTTTTTTATGCTGTCGATTGTCGATGACACTTAACCATGCTTTTTTATACTAATGGTTGTTTAATGTTATTTAATCAAATAATGCACCAAAGAACATAGAATAATAACATGCAAAAACGAGACAATGTCCCATAACTATCACAATTTTTCTGGCTTTCTAACTGCTGTAAGAGCTGTTACAAATTCATCCAAGCTAGTTGATATGTTTCCCATAGAAACATAGCTTGTAATGAAAGAGAAATGTACAATTCTCTGTACAAAGTAATATAATATGCCATTTGATAGATAAAAATCTTGACTTTCTATTGGTTATAAGTGATATAGTATTAAACGTAAGAGAGCACTATTAACAAATCCTGAAAGAGAGGGTGTGGCAAGAGGGGTCTGATTTTCTATTTGATAGCTCTGTAACCAAACAAAACCGAAGGCTAAGAAAATTATGCTTTGTTTGAGTGATGATTATGTTATAGTGAGCAATTTACATTAAACTTTGTACTTATTGGAGGGGTGGTGAATAAATTAGAGAAGAGAGGGAAAATGCCTAGAGAAAAAATGTCACATTTCTCTCACTAGGGGAAATTCAGGATTTCTTTTAATATTGCCTTACAAAATTAAGAATTTAAAACTTATATACTATTAAAATATGGATTATTAGCTACAATTTTTTGCTATACTAATTGGTATAACATAAACAAAAAGTAGTTTAATAAAGTTTTGAATGTAACTCACTAAAACCTTCATGACGTGTACAGTAAAAGATGCCTGTGGCAATAGGGTTAATAGGAGAACCTGTGCAGTAGTGGACTGTATTAAAGACTACTTAGTTAATAGAAGTAGAATGGTAGAAGTTTTAGGCACACACACATGGTAGAATTTATTAACATAATGTGAAATTACATCAACATAAAATGATTACTTTCATGACATTTTTATCATTAATTCTTAGTCAGGCTTTAACAATTAAGTTAAACTTTTGTTTATTCTTTTTGTTTCTATTCTTCCCAGAGTATCAGAAAAAAAGAGTATCAGAATCTATCAATGAAAAGTTATACTGTTGTTGTTTTTCTCTTTTCATGTAATAAAATTTGACCAAACCATAAGTTCTGTGTTAAGCCTAAAGTTTGAACAAAACTGTTTTTGCAGTATATTGAATGTGCAATAGCCAATGTTTAGTTTAAAAGTTATTTTGAGACTCTTTATAGCAGTATTTAATGTATTGTGTTGAATTTATGGTTCTTCAGCATAAAATATTATTATTGTTTTTTATTATACAGTTCTTACCTTAAGTTTCAAAAAATGACTGTTTTGAAATTATGCTAACAATTGTGATCATCAGTAAAAATAGAAATTTCATCAATCTTTTTTACCATTGCATTCTTAGTACTTCAAGTGTATTTGTTGTAAACAGTATTTCTAAAACATAACCTTGTTCTTATAGGGCTTTTGACAGCAACAGTATCTTCAGAAGTATTTAAAGCAGCTCAGCCAGCTCTACTGTACCTGGTACCTTTTACCCTTCTTCCCTTACTCATCATGGCTTACTTAAAGGTTAGTTGTTACTTTTGCTCTTCTTCCTTTACTCATCATGGCTTATTTAAATGTAAGTTTGTCTTCTATAGATTTATTGTGTTTGTTAATACTATGGTATGTAGGCATACCATGTGTTTTCTACCTTTATATTTTTATTTAGGAATTTTTCAGAATTTTTCATTTATTCACTCTTATGCACATTTCGCATAACATGTCTCAAGAAAGTCAGTAAATATCTTCATTCTAGCTAACTATTGTTCTTTGTCATTCCCTTGGTGAAAACACCAGGACTGTCTGTAAAGCTGCAACTTGTGCTTTAAAGTATATGGCAGTGTCCTCCAATGGTAGGTCAGGTGATATCCTGAGGTTACAATCTCCTTTATGTTTGAATGAGAATTATCAGTCATGTGGGTAGTACTACTTGCTCTGGGCAAGTCTGGCATTACCGATTCAACTAAGTTATATGAGATTTAGTCAGTCTGAAATGTTATCTTGAGTCAGTCAGCTAGCATGGAAAACCATTCTCAAGGGAGTATAACCAGCCTGATCCATTCACAACTTCAGTAAAAGAGACTGTCCATCAACCATAAGGTGAAGTACACAAGCTGTTGCTTTGTGTCCAATCCATTTATTTCTTGTAATAGACATGGTTAGTTTAGCAAAACTCAGTATTACTTTGCAATAGATCTTGCCAAATATCCTGTTATATAGCAGACCTGCTTAATTTACTCTTTCAGGAAATTGGTTTAACTGAAAAGATCGCAGTACTATGGAAAAAGAATAAAATCAATAAACTTTTTTTCCAAGAGCAAAATAATAATAAAACAGTCCTTAAAATTGGGATTTAGATATAATGATAGATTAGTTGTTTTGTGGGTAACTAGATTTCAGAGGAGTTTAATTGTTTATGAAACTGAATTTATTTAAATCTAAAATGTGTAGTTTAGCTTAATTCCCTAAATTTCTTTTTATATTCACTTATAAGCTAATTACAAACAAGACATTCTGCAATATTATCATTATTGCTCATTAGTTGTAGATCTAATTAGATCCCAATCAACATAGCTTATTGATTTTATATTTCAGGGTGATTTGAGACGAATGTGGAGTGAACCTTTCATCACTTCACCACCATCTAAACACTTGGAAGTATGAAAAGAAAAAGAAGTTAAATATCTTACTGCATTGAGAAATATGATTTAGTTGCTGAGACTTCAGTTATAAGTTACAAAACAATGTATTGTGTATATGGTGGTCATAATCAACCAGAAGAACTGGGCTTGAACTGTGTTTCACAAATAGATTAAACATTTTTTGTGAATGTGGTCAGATTCTTGAACCTTTAACTAATTGTGTTTTTACAACTATCTTATAAGCAAAAGGCCAGTACATTTTAAAGCTGTGACTACTCTGTAAAGCATCTACTTTGAAATGAGGCATACATTGTGACGTTGATATGCTGTCTATAATTGATTTATTCATTGTCTTCTCAGTATTTTTTCATTATAAATTTCAAAGATTTCAAAATTGAAAACAAACTCAACTGCATGAAAATTGTCTTTATGTCAATTTCTGTGTCAAAGTTGTTATAAAGGGAAAAACAGTTGTTTTCAGTTTATGATTATTTCTGTTTCTTAATGTATCAAAATATTTATAAAAGTATCATTTCTTGACCAAATACTCAGACCCATTTTGAAAAGTTAAACTTAAAATTATTGTTATATAAGAATATCTGTTATTTTTATTTATTAACAACTCACTTCACTGTTTTTTAAATGAAAATTAAAAAGTCTGTTTTCATTTCAATTTAAAGCAATAAGTATTAATCTCAGGATGTGTGTGCATTTATTAACACTATTGACTGTGTTAAAGCTTTGACATTTTGAAAAATATTTAAAATGTAGAAGTATTTAAAATGGCTATGAGTATAACTAATTCCCAGTAAAAAATACATTCAACTTACATGGAAATCAGCCTTTTGTGATTAATATTATCATTTTATACATATTGTGATGATGTAATAAAGTTGTGGAAAGAGTCTCATTATTGGTTATCTTAGTAAGAGACACAAGAAGGGTTACAGAACACCAAGAAAGACCTAAGATATGTTGTTTATTAAATCTAAGTTCCTCATGGAATTTAAATCTTTGAATGATTAAAATTTGCCTAAAAAACTAGGTTTTTTTTTACATATTGAACAAAGCTGTTTGTGATGAAAAGTTTAGCTAGTTCAATTTGTATAGTTTATTGTTGTCCATATAGTCATTATATTAGAAATCTTTACCAAAAAAATCAATTCTTTATTGTGCACTCTCTGAACTTCTTTATGTTAGTGTTAGCATTACTATGATGTTTAAATTTTTTTCATAATCTTGTGTTTTGGGGTAATTGTTAATAATTAATGGTAGCAAATAATCATTCTTGATGTGAAACTAGAGGAGTTTTATGATGTTTTTGATTATTTTCAAAAGTATTTTAACATTTCAAGTATTTTGAAAAAGGCATTCAGTACTTGATATTTAGTAAAAGTTACAGTCGATGTTGATGGGATGGACAATATAGAATTATGGTTTCTTTCTTTGTATTTCTGTTTAATGTACCATAAGTGTATTACAGCTTAATGGTTGAAGAGGTATAGATAGTTTAGTACAAATGCATGAATTAAGCTAATCAACAAATGTAAATAAACTCCTTTTAAGAAAATGTTTTTGAAATGAATATTAAAAGCTTTTTCTCTGATTTTTTTTAAGCTTTTCTGACTAAAACTATTTAGTCTAAAAGAAGAGATGAAACTAACAAATTCTCCTTGTTGACAAACCTGACACAGTTCCATAGCAGGGCTACATAACATGTTAGAGCTAGAAAGTCCTATGCTTGAGAAATACCAACTGGCTTAAAAGCTGTTTGGTATATGTTTGTGACATAAATTTTATTATGAGAATTTTGTCATATACTTAAGGATATTGCTGGCTATCATTAGTTACATTTAACTTTGTAATTCCTGTTGTGCATATTTCCCATACATCAGACCTTCTACTGTAGTGTGCTGAGCTGTAACATGAGGTTTAGTATAATACACTTATTGCAGGAGATATGCCACAAACAAACATTATATACGTAAGGAACCAAGTTAAACAAGAAACAGGTAGGAGGTAACTTTATTCTCCTCTCATTCCACTGTACCTACCTTATTCATAAGTTCCTCTTGACATTAAATTAACACAGAGATGTGATTGTGTGTTTGGAATTTTGTTTAAACTGTTGTGGGAACGTCATCTGTTGTACAAATGATAAATGTAATTTAAAATGTTGTACTAATCTTAGAGTATTTAATTTACTTGTATTACCTCATCCACACCAGTCCTCATTTATTTACAACATTTTATGTAACATTTATGTTTTTTTACTTTGTTTTGTTTTTCTGAGGAGGCAGAAAACAACATAATTTTTTAGTTCTTGGTCCTTTGTGACAATGTTGCATTTAATGTAGGTAATATTTGATTAAACAGCTATTTATACGTACACAAATATGAAATAATAACCTAATTCATGTAGTGAGTAATGATACAGCATTTTTCACAAACTTGTGTGTGTGTGTGTATATATATATATATATATCACAGCTAGCATTGTATTTCTTCCTCTCTTGCCTCTAGTAAAGTATATAAAATAATTCCCAAACTTCTGTTTAAAAAAAAGTGAATCAATTGAAAACTATTGAACAACCAAAAATTTAGGATACCCCTTAAAAACATCTTGAGTAAAATGCTACTAGCAGAGTTTTTATATCTATATAACAAGAGATATTATTTTACTGATTCAATAGATTGGGCAGCTAAACCATCAAGTAATGATAGTTTCTTTTAGTATTTGATTCCATGACACATCTGATTAATAATGTACTTTATTTAAAGTTTTTGGTAGTTAATGAATTTGTAATAATTGATAATAAACCCTTTTTACAATCTCAAATACTTTCTGGTAGTTTTACTGATCATTAAAGCACACCATTTAACAATGTGAAATGAGAAAGTGATAGGATTTATTTCATTTGATTGTGGAATAATGATCTTAAGAAAATCATGAGTGGTCCAGAATTTTTATGATCAGGAGGGACATCTTTTGGTAGGAATGCATAAAGCAAAGTTCTTTGTTAATTTTGAAAAGTGTTTAAAAACGTCATTTGTTACAATTATGAAACCACTTATTGAATTCTGACAATCACGGTTAAGTATATCATTCATTTCACATAGTAGGTGGATATATGTAGATCATCTAGTGTGTGAATTTAAAACAAAGTGTTGTAGAGAATAAAGAAATTGTAGTGTAAAACACTAAACTAATAATTGAGTAATTGTTAAGTGCAGTAGCATTTCATGTTTTCTTCCCCATTATCACATAGTGTTGTAAGGACAGGGTTGCTGGTCATCAAGTCTGAATTCAGTGGAATCAATGTTCCATCAGCTCTGCATGCATCCAAGTAGCTAGGCCTATGTTATCAAGGCAAAAAAAGCACTTAATTCCATGTTTAACAGAATGCAAGTAAAGTATTACGAAGTTATGATACTCCTTTTTGTAAAGCCATACTAAAAATTGTAAAACAGGGTGACGATTTGTCTGAAAGTGAAAATCATATTTTTAAATCTCAGGGTTTATTTCCTTATGATCTAAATCAACATTTTCATAATACTTTTGCTGTTTCCTTAACTTATGATTTTTGTTTTGCTAATTGTTTTATAATTAATGACTTTCTAATAGATAGTTTATAAAGAAAATAATAGATGAGATTTTAAACGTTGTCTCAGCGAAAAGCTACACAATGGGCTATCTGCGTTCTGTCCATCGCAAGGAATCATACTTCGGATTTTAGTTAACTTACCGCTGACACACAAGATGACTATAAAGTTAAAAAAAAAGTAAACAGAAATTTATTGATTTTAATAAACTTTGTAGGCTCGGCATGGCCAGTTGGTTAGGGCGCTCGACTCCTAAAGGGTCGCGAGTTCGAATCCCCGTCCCACCAAACATGCTCGCCCTTTCAGCCGTGGGGGCGTTATACTGTGACGGTCAATCCCACTATTCGTTGGTAAAAAAGAGTGGCCCAAGAGTTGGTGGTTATGACTAAATGCCTTCCCTCTAGTATTATACTGCTAAATTAGGGTCTGCTATAGCGGATAGCCCTCGTGTAGTTATAACGAAGCCAAACATTATTTACAAATATGAAAGTCCTAATAGACCTTTGCTTTATAATTACAAAACTTTTTATGTAATTTAAACCTTAACAGTACATACAATGTTCTAATATTGATTTTTCAGATTCTATTCATAAACAAATTACTACTAGTACTTTGTAACTTTTGTAAAACATTCTTTATAAAGGATCTAAACATAGGTTACCGGAATGATGTAAAAATGGCCTTATATCGCTAATTCAAAATACGTAAATATATAATTAAACTATATTCTATAGAAAATATATCAGTCTTTTTTAATTAAAGTTAAAAGAACAAGAAGTGCTGGCTTAAATGATTATGCTATAGATTAGTATTTTAATCAGTTTAAAAGTACAGTTCAAGAAAGAAAGATATGTTACGATACCATTGATAGAACTAGATGTAATTTTGGTTTTATTTGTAGAATAATATGTACTTCAACTGTAATTAATAAGCTGAATTCTACTTACACTTTTCAAAGAACAAGTTTGTAACTAGTGTTAGTAAAGAATTTACAAAATTTGCTTGTAAATCTGTCAATTTTTTGAATTTTTGTATTTATATGTTATTCCAAAATTAAATAAATTTGCAATTAAATTCATGTTTATTACTAGTTCTGTAAAAACTGTTAACAACCAACCACCTTATTAAACAAAATCTAGAATTCGTAAATAAATAAAATGAAAGAGTTTGACTGCAACTTTAATCACTTCTGGACATTGTATGATAATATAGCTTATTGTAATCTAGAAACCTTAAATGAAGTGAAAATACTGTATAATTCAACGTTTTTACAACTTGATATATGAAATTCGTTTGGAAAAGACTGTCATAAATTTAAATCTTGGTCGATGTATTTACCAATGTATAAATTGGTTGATCTAATTTTAAAGTTTTATGACGAAAAGTAATTATTTTCTGTTATTTCTATACATACTAACCATTCTTCTAATGCTGCTAACTTAATTATGCCTTTCTTTTAATGAAAATTTGTTATGAGAAATTCCTTAAATTCATATGTATTTACTAGAATATAAATGATACATATATGCCGTAAATAGTGTGAATAATCAAAGTATTAATAACTGTATTAATAGCACATCCTCAGGGTTGAGGTAACATATCACTGTAAAAATATACCTTGTGTGAGTAACATATATTATTATAATTACCTTAAATCTATTGGTAACGTGTTATTTTTTATTGATTTATTCTTACACTGTAATTTTTATCAATGCTACCAGACATTCATTAATCATTATTCACTATTTCCTGCTTTGTTTTACGCCACGAAAAAAATTCATTGTTGGAAATACTAGAATTATTTTGCGATTTTAGAAGATGATGCCAAAACAGCAAAGTGTGGTCCCTGTGGGGGAGAGTATTATTTGTATCAAAAAAAAAAAAAAGACATCTAACCTTTAAGAATCACTTAGAAACGATTGACAAGACTACCACGCTTGTTCCAAGTGGATCAGAGCAGTCAAGCGCAAGACAGATAATATCACCTGCCAAATCAAAAGACGGAAAATCAACATTACCTTTTGTAGTGATGCTTACCGACAATAATGTTGAAAAGTTATTTGTCGACCTCTTCATCGAGAGCATTACACTATCGTCAACTGTGTAGTCTCCAGCATTTACAAAGTGAATAAAAGAAGTAGCTAAGGTTGACCGACCTAAGATAAAGACATTTTGAACTTGATTTGATACAGTGTAGGACTGACTTAAAGAGAAGTTAACAGAAGCTATATCTACTGTCATGCACATGTCCACCACTGCCGATGTCTGGTCTCTACATAAGGTATACATTACATGAAACTGAGTTAACATTAGGGTGATGGATGAGGTCCGCTTACTAACAGAGGGTACAATAAGATATTTATTATCAAGTAATTCTGAGTTCTTTGACTTTGAAAAAGAGAGAAACTGGGTACAAAAACGCAATGAACTAAACTTTGTTAAAACTTAAAAATTCAGTCAAAATAACACGTGTACAGGAGGAAGAACAGAACTTTTGTTTTATAGTTCTCTCTCTAAACTTTCCTAACAACTTGTAAAGATGTTTAATTAAAGTTAAACTTTAGGAGAGTATTACTATTTACAAAGAAAGGACTTAAGCTTCACTAACCAAACTGATGGATTGAGAGAGAGAGAGAGAGAGAAAGCTAAATAAGAGATCAAAGGACTATATACAAAATTCCGTAACATTATATTATCATGACACATACACCAACTATGTCAGTGTTGGTCAATCAACATAAAAGAGATTATAACATCGAAATATCATCAAACCTATAACTGAAGGGCACAACTTTCTACATTTTAGCACAACGTGCAGCCTTACACCATACTACCCATTTGCAGAACAGGTGTTTTCATCAGAGAATGACGAAAAACAAAACAGATAGAATAAAATTAATTTAATGATTTTCTTGACCACGTGTTTTGTGAAACCCGCACATATCAAAAATAAATGATAAAGTCAGAAGTATACTATGGTAAAAGCTTTGTTATCTGGCATCTTTGCATCTGGAAAGTCTTTGTAACAGGAAATTTCAATATCGAAGATGCTGAGTTTGTAGATATTGACTCAGCATTCTCTAGTCCTTCTAGTGATGACACTGGAAGCAGGAACGTTACGAACTATCAGCTTACACCCCATTGTAGGTGTGCATCTCAAGCGTTAAACCTAAAAAAAAGGGAGGTCGTATCGATAAATTTCTTACAACTGTGAAGTTGGAACAATATATCGAAGTTCTTTCTTAAGGTGCACGGCGTTGTGGAATAAACGTAGTATATCGTCACTAGCTACAAATGGGTTTTGAATACAACTCACTTAGAAAACTATTAGATCCAGGTGGAACTCGTGCTGTAAACTATGTTGTCTCAAAGCCAGTAAACAAGCTTGTTATAATCTGCAATAAGCTGGAGTTGTCATTCTTCCACGATTACTGCACAGTGTTGAAACCATTAATAAAAGCATTGGGCATTTTCTGAAGTACTTATTGAAAAAGATAATTGTCGTGAAACTCGGCGTTTGTGTTGGAATTTCTTCATTAGAAGATTGCGTCATAGAATCTGTCCAGAGTTTTTTTCTCTCGTGTTATTTATTATAATGAGACAATTGTGACTATTATCACTTGAACAAAGTTTAAGCTGCATTGGGTGACATCTCATAAAAAAGAGACGGTACAAAAAGACTTCTGGATGAGAAAACCAGGTGGTTCTCTTGTACAGAGTTAAGTAAGATATCGGTCTTAAATCCTGTTTTAAAGCGATTCAACTGATGATTTCGTTTGTTTTGCTCGAGAGACTGGGGAGAAGAACAATGCTGACAGTAAGGAAACTGACATTTAAGGAATGCTACTGATGTGCTTGCAATCACTTCGTTACTATTCTTTGGTAATTTTTTTATTTTATTTTGTTATATTATCGTTATCTGAAGTACAGTACAATCATTTAGTAAAGTGCACCCCTTGGAAATTTATTTAGTCTGGAGTCTTGTGTTAAGCCCGAAACGCAATAGACTCATTAGTAAGCCATTAGAATTAATCTTTCAAATGGCTTACTAATGAGTCTATTTAGAACTTTATTTCTTCTTAAGTTTTAGAGCTTCTGATCTAATCAACTTCATATTGAAAACTTTGGACAATCTAATTTATGATTTAATGTGAATGTCAGTGTCACAGATTTAAACTGACCGAGTCATAATTTCTGGGAGTCAAAAAAGAAAAAGAATATTTTACTTGATCGTGA